TAGACTATAGACTAGACTATAGACTAGACTATAGACTAGACTATAGACTAGACTATAGACTAGACTATAGACTAGACTATAGACTAGACTATAGACTAGACTATAGACTAGACTATAGACTAGACTATAGACTAGACTATAGTCTAGTCTATAGTCTAGTCTATAGTCTAGTCTATAGTCTAGTCTATAGTCTAGTCTATAGTCTAGTCTATAGTCTAGTCTATAGTCTAGTCTATAGTCTAGTCTATAGTCTAGTCTATAGTCTAGTCTATAGTCTAGTCTATAGTCTAGTCTATAGTCTAGTCTATAGTCTAGTCTATAGTCTAGTCTATAGTCTAGTCTATAGTCTAGTCTATAGTCTAGTCTATAGTCTAGTCTATAGTCTAGTCTATAGTCTAGTCTATAGTCTAGTCTATAGTCTAGTCTATAGTCTAGTCTATAGTCTAGTCTATAGTCTAGTCTATAGTCTAGTCTATAGTCTAGTCTATAGTCTAGTCTATAGTCTAGTCTATAGTCTAGTCTATAGTCTAGTCTATAGTCTAGTCTATAGTCTAGTCTATAGTCTAGTCTATAGTCTAGTCTATAGTCTAGTCTATAGTCTAGTTATAGTCTAGTCTATAGTCTAGTCTATAGTCTAGTCTATAGTCTAGTCTATAGTCTAGTCTATAGTCTAGTCTATAGTCTAGTCTATAGTCTAGTCTATAGTCTAGTCTATAGTCTAGTCTATAGTCTAGTCTATAGTCTAGTCTATAGTCTAGTCTATAGTCTAGTCTATAGTCTAGTCTATAGTCTAGTCTATAGTCTAGTCTATAGTCTAGTCTATAGTCTAGTCTATAGTCTAGTCTATAGTCTAGTCTATAGTCTAGTCTATAGTCTAGTCTATAGTCTAGTCTATAGTCTAGTCTATAGTCTAGTCTATAGTCTAGTCTATAGTCTAGTCTATAGTCTAGTCTATAGTCTAGTCTATAGTCTAGTCTATAGTCTAGTCTATAGTCTAGTCTATAGTCTAGTCTATAGTCTAGTCTATAGTCTAGTCTATAGTCTAGTCTATAGTCTAGTCTATAGTCTAGTCTATAGTCTAGTCTATAGTCTAGTCTATAGTCTAGTCTATAGTCTAGTCTATAGTCTAGTCTATAGTCTAGTCTATAGTCTAGTCTATAGTCTAGTCTATAGTCTAGTCTATAGTCTAGTCTATAGTCTTGTCTATAGTCTAGTCTATAGTCTAGTCTATAGTCTAGTCTATAGTCTAGTCTATAGTCTAGTCTATAGTCTAGTCTATAGTCTAGTCTATAGTCTAGTCTATAGTCTAGTCTATAGTCTAGTCTATAGTCTAGTCTATAGTCTAGTCTATAGTCTAGTCTATAGTCTAGTCTATAGTCTAGTCTATAGTCTAGTCTATAGTCTAGTCTATAGTCTAGTCTATAGTCTAGTCTATAGTCTAGTCTATAGTCTAGTCTATAGTCTAGTCTATAGTCTAGTCTATAGTCTAGTCTATAATCTAGTCTATAGTCTAGTCTATAGTCTAGTCTATAGTCTAGTCTATAGTCTAGTCTATAGTCTAGTCTATAGTCTAGTCTATAGTCTAGTCTATAGTCTAGTCTATAGTCTAGTCTATAGTCTAGTCTATAGTCTAGTCTATAGTCTAGTCTATAGTCTAGTCTATAGTCTAGTCTATAGTCTAGTCTATAGTCTAGTCTATAGTCTAGTCTATAGTCTAGTCTATAGTCTAGTCTATAGTCTAGTCTAGTCTATAGTCTAGTCTATAGTCTAGTCTATAGTCTAGTCTATAGTCTAGTCTATAGTCTAGTCTATAGTCTAGTCTATAGTCTAGTCTATAGTCTAGTCTATAGTCTAGTCTATAGTCTAGTCTATAGTCTAGTCTATAGTCTAGTCTATAGTCTAGTCTATAGTCTAGTCTATAATCTTGTCTATAGTCTAGTCTATAGTCTAGTCTATAGTCTAGTCTATAGTCTAGTCTATAGTCTAGTCTATAGTCTAGTCTATAGTCTAGTCTATAGTCTAGTCTATAGTCTAGTCTATAGTCTAGTCTATAGTCTAGTCTATAGTCTAGTCTATAGGTTAGTCTATTGGCTAGTCTATAGTCTAGTCTATAGTCTAGTCTATAGTCTATAGTCTAGTCTATAGTCTAGTCTATAGTCTAGTCTATAGTCTAGTCTATAGTCCAGTCTATAGTCTAGTCTATAGTCTAGTCTATAGTCTAGTCTATAGTCTAGTCTATAGTCTAGTCTATAGTCTAGTCTATAGTCTAGTCTATAGTCTAGTCTATAGTCTAGTCTATAGTCTAGTCTATAGTCTAGTCTATAGTCTAGTCTATAGTCTAGTCTATAGTCTAGTCTATAGTCTAGTCTATAGTATAGTCTAAAGTCTAGTCTATTGTCTAGTCTATAGTCTAGTCAATAGTCTAGTCTATAGTCAAGTCTATAGTCGAATCTATAGTCTAATCTATAGTCTAGTCTATAGTCAAGTCTATAGTCTAATCTATAGTCTAGTCTATAGTCTAGTCTATAGTCTAATCTTAGTCTAGTCTATAGTCTAGTCTATAGTCTATAATCTAGTCTATAGTCTAGTATTTAGTTAGTCTATAGTCTAGCGAAAAATTAGTTTAGTACTTTAATGTCTAAAAAAGTACTATTTTGTTAAAAGTTGCCTGACTGTATGTCATCTTCTGAAGGTGACCTTATAAGGCAACTAGAGTCGAATATGGCCCGATAATTTATGCAATATAATGAATTGTCTCATCAGTAAATTCCCTAAAAAGAATTTGGTTTACGTGGTAGTTCACTACACGCGAACTGTCAAGTAGAATCAAAGAGACTCCGTTTTGACCAAAAAGAATTTACAAGTCGTCGTTATTTTGTTTCTACACTAATTATATGAAATATTTCTAATCAGAGATCTCTAATTTTTCTTCAGATATATGAAAACTATATTCCCCAAAGCCGATGAAACTTTATTACTGGATGTTTTAAGCAAATGCCGATAATAATGTACAAAAGGCTTCGGAAAAATTGATTTCATTAGGTTATATAAAAAAAGATTTTGCTCCTCCACCAAAACTTACCAATCGACCACATAATGAAATGAACGGTGGTGTTAAACCAACAATTGAAGATGAAATTAAAATTATACCATTACGTCCGAAAGAGTATACTGAGGAAGAAAAAGAGGCCAGTAAGTAAAAATTTAATAATAAATTTTAAAAATAGTTAAAATTTGTTTAATAAATTTACAGTCAAACTTCATCTTAAGGAAAAATATCCACAAATAGTTGATCATATATTGGTAATGGCTTTGGAATCGGTTAACTATGCTGAAGATCGGGCTATGCAAATATTACAAATAGTTAAGGAGGAGGAAGAACAGCAAAAACTCCAAAAGACCCCAAAGCTAGCACACACAACAACTTTGGAATATAAACAAGAGGAACTTGACGGCTTAGGCAATATATCGGGTCGTGTTAGTAGGTAAGATGTGATAATTATTAACAAAAATTACACTTATAGCTAACTATATATGTAACTGATCATCATACATAACATTTTTCCATAAAGCTTTCCATTTTTTGTTATTTTTGGAAAACTTATTTATTTTGCTTTAACCTTTAATTCATTATACTCGTATTGCTTTATTTTTACAATAAAAATGTTATTAACAAAACAAAAATAGCAAACCCTTAACCTCAATCTTAAAATCAAGCGAAGCCAATTTACGCAAAGAAATTGTAATCAACGTAAACCCGGCACTTAAAGACGATAAAACGGATACAACGAATATTGATAATATTAACGATAACGAATACATAATACCATCTGTAAGCTCAACTTTGAAACTCTCATCGGTTACCATGTCCACAAAAAGTATTTTAGATCGTTATCGTACAAATAATAAAATAAGCGCTAATGATTTTATACGTGGAACTTATCCAGTAACAGCTATACTTTGGGATAAATTATCCCTACATTCTCGAGATAAATCCGATACGTTAAAGTATGACATTTGAATTTCTTTCAGTAACTTTTATTTAAATTTTTTTGTTTTAAATGTATGTATTTTATTAAATGTATTTTAAATGCACCTTATTTTTTAAATTTTAAAATTATATCTTTATAAAAACGTAGAAGTTTTTAAAATTTAAAATATTAAGGTCCTAAGTTTTAAAATTTTTAATCGGTTTATTGTAAATTTATTAAAATATCAGGTTTAAAAGTTTATATACACATTAGTAGCCATTTAAATTATAATAAATATATAGAAAATTATATATATTTTTATTATAAAAGATTTATAGTTGCCCTAAGAGTTTACAAAATTATACTAATCAGGAATATATAGTAGAAAAAATTTAACTTAATTTAATTACATATTTTAAAAGTTATATTAAAAGTTCACAGTTAAAAAATAGTTAATATTATATGTATATCATTAAAAATCTTAAACTTAATATTGTATTTTTTCGTATATTTTATGATTTATAAATATCAACATATTTGCATGCTTTTTTCACTTCATTGACTCATTAGATCATTTTAAATAATATATGGATCGTAATATTTTATAATTATGTCGTATACATATCGTAATCATTGGATCCAATATTAAATTTAGTTAAGTCAGACTATTTGCAAAACCAAATTTTAAAAATATGATCTTTGAGATTTTTTATTACATTGATCATATTTAACGGATAAGACAACGTTTGAAAGACTGTGCTCCTCCTCTTTGAATGTAATAATGAGATGTATTAGTAATAGATAGATAGATAGATAGATAGATAGATAGATAGATGATAGATAGATAGATAGATAGATAGATATAGTAGATGATAGATAGATAGATATAGATAGATAGATAGATAGCTAGCTAGATAGATCGATCGCTCGCTCGCTAGATCAGATAGCTCGCTCGATAGATCGCTCGCTCGCTCGCTAGCTCGCTAGCTCGCTCGCTCGCTCGCTCCTCGCTCGATCGCTCGATGCTCGCTCGCTCGCTCGCTCGCTAGCTCGCTCGCTCGCTCGCTCGCTCGCGCTCGCTCGCTGCTCGCTCGCTCGCTCGCTCGCTCGCTCGCTCGCTCGCTCGCTCGCTAGCTCGCTCGCTCGCTCGCTCGCTCGCTCGCTCCTCGCTCGCTCGCTCGCTCGCTCGCTCGCTCGCTCGCTCGCTCGCGCTCTCGCTCGCTCGCTCGCTCGCTCGCTCGCTCGCTCGCTCGCTCGCTCGCTCGCTCGCTCGCTCGCTCGCTCGCTCGCTCGCTCGCTCCTCGCTCGCTCGCTCGCTCGCTCGCTCGCTCGCTCGCTCGCTCGCTCGCTCGCTCGCTAGCTCGCTCGCTCGCTCCTCGCTCGCTCGCTCGCTCGCTCGCTCGCTCGCTCGCTCGCTCGCTCGCTCGCTCGCTCGCTCGCTCGCTCGCTCTCGTCGCTCGCTCGCTCGCTCGCTCGCTCGCTCGCTCGCTCGCTCGCTCGCTCGCTCGCTCGCTCGCTCGCTCGCTTGCCGCCTCCTTTGTCCTCCCCCCTCTTGCCTTCTTCTTCTTCCCCCTGGGCCGCGGCTGCTGCTCCCCGTCCCTTTCTGTTCCCCCTCCCCCCTTGTTTTCCCCCTTCCCTCTGGCGCTTTCCGCCACCCCCCCTTCTCCCCCCTCGAAAACCCTCCTCTGCCCATCGTTACCATTTATTAAAATATCTCGTGGTAAATGAGGTCACAGTGGGTACATGTTGGTAAGCGAGAGTATCATAAGAAATTACTACGAAAGGGGAATAACTTTTAGTTAATTGATGTAAAATGTTTACGATTTGTATACGAACGACATTTACAAAATAAATTATACAGTAAATTATGTATAAAATGTATAAAAAATATTTCTATGAACTAATTCTACTAAATATGCCTTTTAAACTAAAAAATCACCAAACACAGGCACTCACATCGAGATCAAACAGATGCCGCCACAGACAAACTATGTAAGGATTTCAAATCTTTAATGGGTCGTATACAGACAAATGGTCCCAATGCCAGTTTAGCAAAGGAGCAAATGAAGGTTTATTGTTGTAAGTGTATTGCATATAAATTTATATTTGATGAACAATATAATATTGGTTTGTTTATAATTCTTTTTCAGAGCCGATTATGTCACCTGGAATGGTGCAAATCCTGACTTTTGTCAAGGTCAAAGAAATCTTGCCAATGGCGCCGATTCTACCATGCGCACGGAACGTGCTTATAAAGCCTATGGTCATAATGCAGATTTATGTAAAGGACCTCAATCAAGTTTGGCCAAGGGTAGTATTTATACGCAACAAAATCCTGCTAACGCCAATAAATCAATCGATATTATATGCAATTAGTTTTTTAATTGTAACATAAACGAATTTATGTATAATTTTTTCTTTCCAAAAAAATAATAATGAGAAAAACTTTAAGAATTTGTGCCAAAAATATCAATACTTTATGCTTCTTACTTATAAATTCCGTCTTATTATTAAATAAAATTAAACGAAAATACATACATAATAATTATGTACAGAAATTTGTTTAAAATGTTTTCTTACTTTTTATTTGTTTTGCGTTTTTGTCGGTAAATACTATCTTAACAATTTATTCCTACCATACCTACATTTAGTCATTTTTGTTTAACAATATATACAGTCCTTTTGATATATGTACGTCCATACAGCCACGCAAGTATTACAGAGAAGATATTGACTACTGCACTCCACAGAAATTTCGGTTATACAACCTTCGAAAACTGTGCAGCGAAGGAATACTACTCCCGGAGAACTCTTTCTGTTTACACTGACCTTTTCCAAAAAAAGGGGAAAGAGTGGGAAACGGCATTTTCATCCTTGAATTTGGGATCAGGATAAGTTTTAGAATACAGAATGAATGTAGTCCTATGCAGGCTAAAATATCAGCCATAATAAGAGCAAATTATACCGATGGCCAAACTGCTATCAAATCTCTGATTGGTGTATAAATTACATCCATGCTAGTCCAGGAATACTGGGCTTCCTTAAATAGAATAGCGAGACATTCAATAGACGTGATCAAATGGGTACGTACGGTAATTTGATTGGTAACTGTGTGGCTGATGAATTAGCGCAAATAGACGCCTCAATGTCCGTTAGGAACATAGATATCTTTTGTAACATTCCGTTAAAAACATGCAAACAACAACTGGATAAAAAAAATTTATGAAGACAATATGGCACAACGAGCCAACTTGCACTATTGCCAGAATGATATGACCAAATTTAGATAGTAAATGCACGCCATATCTCCTTCAATTTTGTCGTCTTAATCTCAGCAATCTAGCTGCTGTCATCGCAGGACACTGTTTATTTGGGAACCATGTAAGAAAACTTGGCCTACCCTACGACTTCTGCAGGTGCCAGGACGACGAAGAATCCGTAGAACATCATCTCTCCCATTGCCTGCTTTAGCAGACATTTGCTTCGATATTCGAATTTTCGACGACCAGTCAGAAATCTCCAGTAACAATTAATTCTTAACTCACACAGCACTAACCAATGGTACTTATATTATGTTAAATTAACTGATGCACCAAAGGCAATTTAAAAAAGGAATACGTAAAACATCGAAGAAAATTTTTAAGTGATTAATTTTTACAAAAAATTTACAAATAAAAAATCGAAAAATATCCAAAATTCTGCATAAATTATCTTCTTTAACGGTGGTAGTTACAATTATAAACAATTCTCAATTTCACTTTAGAACCGGAAGTAATTTTGAATATAGCCCCTTGATAATCGTTTTATCAACAAAATATTTACATGATCTATATCACGGTAAACATACAGCATAGAAATATCTCGATTATAACCAAATCCAATTAGAATCTTGTGTACGCTTATGAAAATACCGAAATTTTTTCTATTACATGCCAGAAACTGTCTTATTTAACCCTAATACCTTCTTATAACATCATTAGACATGGTGGTCAAAATCTTTCTATATTTACAAAACAACACACAATTTAAATGTAAAAAAATTTACACATATACTATTTTTTATTATAAAACTATAGTTTTATTAAACACCATTACTAATTTACTTCTTCTTGGCATTTTCTTCATTTTCATTCAGCGTTTTCACGGGCTTGCTTGGCACGGATGCCAACAAGACGAGCATCAGAACGAGCCTAAAATAGAAAAAAGTAAACAAAAATTAATGAAATTGTCCCAACATTTAGTTTAAAGAAAAATAGTAATATGTTAAAAAAAAAGCAGGGCCATCCATACCTTGCGCAAAGTAGCGAAAGCCTTGAATTTCTTCTCGTCCTTGGTAACTTCACGGAATTCAATGGTGGGTTCTTCCTTCTTAATAGGCATAACCTTGCCCTTAAGTTGGGTAGCCAACTTGCATTCTTCAAGAGAAGATTCACCCTTGCGGATCTTCTTCTCGTTGATGGGGAAGAGAATCAATTTGCTCTTGTATTCCTTCAAGCGTTGGATGTTGCGTTGACGGGATTCGATGGATTTGTTCTTGCGTCTGCGATCAACAGCGATGCCAACAGTTTTGGCAAAACCAGCAGTAAGACCGGCACCCTAAAGAGACAAACAAAAATATTTAATGTTTACATCTTGCTGGTTGGGGGGAAAAGTGTGTCAATATTTAGACACCTACCTTCAATTCTTCCAAAGTGAAACCGCGACCAGCACGCAACTTGGTGTGATAACGGATGGTGGGGCATCTGACTACGGGACGGAGGGGACCAGCAGCGGGACGGGGGGAAGACTTCCTTGGCTTTCTTAATGCGGTTATTGCGCCTGCGGATCTTGCGGGCGGGTTGGTTGAACCAGGTCTTAACATGACGTTGCCACCACTTGTGGAAGTGAGCATTTGGAATCATATTATTTCCCTTACCCATTTGTTGTTTAGTCTGCAATAGTTATAAACAAAAATACGCACTGATTAATAACGTTACAATACAAATTCACTTAATAGGAACACATTTACGTTTATTCTCCATATAACCACAAAAAAAAACAAAAATAATTTTCGTTCAAACACCACGTGGTTGTCTCATGAAATTTTAACACAAATTTTCATTTTTCTTTACTAAAATCCATTATGTTTTATGCTTAGTTTATTAGTAGGCACTTCTTTCATTTAATTTCATTGAAATTTCAACCAAAACTTTTTTAATTTTTACATATTTTTTAAAAAAATCACCAGCAGAAATTTTTTACAAACCTTTTCTTCCCAACAACGAATCAAAAAGGAAAAGTGCAGCCAACTTAGCAATGTCGAAAAAAACATTTTCGAATAACAGTCGATTATTTTCGAACTTAACATACAACCCTGTGTAGGTATAGGGTACGAAAAATGCAACTATGTAAGTAACCGATAACTAAAGTTTTTTGAAAAAAATAACTAGTAGATTCATGAATTTTTAACAAAAATGTATTTTAAAATAAAATTTACTGTTAGTCAGTGCCTGTGTTCTGTAACTTTCGAATCGACAAAAACATCGGGTGAACACACGTAATTCAAATATGTTTTGGTTCAATTTAAAAATTATCTGAATCATAGAACTAACAAGGGAGAGACTCTTTCAATGTTTTTTCTCGACTCGAAAACTACAGAGCACAGGCACAGAATAAATCGAATTTAGTCGAAAAATCATAATTTTTCAGAATACGAAGATTTTCGGCTATTTACATGTACACAACACGATCATAGACGAATTTGCCAACAAGAGCATAAAAATACAAACATTCATTTCTGGGGGACTATGTTCTAAAATATGTATATATAAATTGACTGTCGAACTAGTTAGAGTACAATATTCGGAATCTGAATCTGTGAGAAACTATAATTGTGTATCCGAAGTCGTTAGTTACAAAGCGCCACTTTAATTATATATAAAGTAAAAACCTGAATCTATGTGATAAAAGTTAATGAAAATTCTTGCAGAAACCCTGAATTGTTACAAATTAATATATATAACGATATTTCAATCTAGCACAATTATACCAGAGTGATAAAGGCATTTATTTAGAGAATAAATTCCTATACAAACAATTTTTGGATTTAACGAAAGGGCCTGAAAATATATCTGTCGTTATACTGGGCTTTTCCTGTATTGTTAAAAGTCGAATGATCCGTTTGGATTATTGCATTGGCAATATCAACATTATTTATAATTTTGTTTACATTTTATTACTTATTGCTATTTTGTATTTATAAAGAAAGATTTATTATTAAAAAATTGCAAAAAGTAAATACAATTCTCATACATAAGTAGGGTTCTATAGTTGAAACGAAAAGTCGACTTTTCGACTTTTGCATTTAGTTAAAAGTCGACTTTTCGACCTTTCGACTTTTTCCATTTTATGAAAAGTCGATTTTTCGACTTTTCGACCTTTTTCATTTATTTAAAAGTCGACTTTTAGACTTTTCGACTTTTAGTATTTTATAAATGGTCGACTTTTCGACCTTTCGACTTTTTCCGACTTTTCGACTTTTTCCGACTTTTCGACTTTTTCCGACTTTTTTCGACTTTTCGACTTTTTTCGACTTTTTCCGACTTTTTTCGACTTTCCGACTTTTCGACTTTATTTACAAAGTCGACTTTTCGACTTTTTTCATAGACGATAGTCGAGTTATCGACTTTTTTGGAACAAATAGTCGACTTCGACTTTTCGACTTTTTTCGACAAAAAGTCGATTGTTCGATTATTCGAAAGTCGATTTATAGAACCCTATACATAAGTACATTAATTCAGGACTTTTCGAATTATTTACAAAAAGTGTTTCTAAACCACAGTACTAAAATCTATGTTATGAAAAATATGAGCCTTTTTCATTTTAGTGCTTTTCAAACCCTGAACAAGTTGACAGCCCTGTCGATATTGATAAAATTCGATGACGCGATTGCAGACGAAAAGAAAATTATCTATTTTTTATAAAAAAAATTTGTGTTGACAGTTTAAAAAACAGTAAAAACGAAAACATAAATATTGTGGAAAAAATGTCGGATCCTTTGCAAGATCCTCCGGTGACCCCACATATAGCACAGCTAAAATTTGCTAAATTACACAGTCCCAAAATGAAAAGTGTGTACTGGCGTCATTTTGGATTTCCGACAAATGAAGACAACTGCATAATAACAAAACAAAATGTAGTTTGCCTTATTTGTCATAAGGTTTTAACTAATCACGGCAATACCACCAATCTACGTGCTCATCTGCAATATCGTCACAAGGAGGTTTTCAATCAAATCATACAAGACAACGGAATACAGGTGCCACCGCGTAAGCCACAAACAAAAATGTCACTTAATGGCAGTGGGGCGGGCGGCATGAAAATCAAACGTGAACCGG